TCACATGATTCAGTTGTTGCAATAGTTGTACCTGTCTCTTATACACATCTAGATGATGGATATCTGACATGTCATTACTTTTTCAATTAAAAATGCTTACGAAAAAAATCTCACAAGTGATTCGGGTGGGATACAAACCCACGACCTCCAGATAACCTAGTCTTAACCACTCGATATTGAGCTTGTGTTTGGTGGCTAGTATATTGAATCCGATCCCCAATGATTGACCTTACATTTTCAGTATATTACCAGTATCGGAACTAGATATAATGTTAGCCTACAGTTGGTGTATTATGTCGTTCAAGTGGCATGCGGTATCTCATATGCTTTTTCAGTGAACTTGGCTCCTTTGTGTTAATTAGAGCTTACGCAATGTCTTTTGCACTCGATAAAAAATTGAATAATAAAAATAAAATAATTAAAAACTGTAACATTCGATGAATATATTTCCAATAAAGTAAGAACCAATATGCAACCACTGGGCCATGTACCAACTTCTACTGGAAATCAGATAGTAGATAATTTGAAGGTAGTGAGCACCTTACGCCAGTGATTCATTTTATATTAAAACGTCTCCACTCCCAAAGCGACGTAATAAGAGATTATAAAGCACTACATTATTTTATTTATTTATAGTACCTCTCAATATTAACTGCAATAGGGTAATTTAGAGGGTATACCTTTAGGGTTTATTTTGATTACAAAGTGTCAACACTTATTTAATGCTGGACAAAAAAACAGCAAAATATTGTGATCATTGTATGGTAGTTTTCTAAGGGGTTAATTCCAGGAAACGATGTCGTTCACGGTTTTCAAAACAAGGTTACGCATCATTCAGTAGTATTAACTTTTTAAAAGTGCAAAAAGACAGTAAGCATGATTAGTTGAAATATAATGTATACTCAGATTACTTCCTTGTAGTAAGAACTAAGTAATATAATGTTGTTCATATATTGGCCTATTCTACATTCAATTCAGTAAGCCCTTTTGCATAGATCCCCGGTTCTCAATTGATATTTATGGGAATGATTATCGCTGATATAATAGAGTTAAAAATCACTTGACCCATTCGGTAGGTCTATTCGTACTATTTAGTACTAGTGGCTGTAACCCAATTGGATCTAAAATTAAATCCATTACACAGCAGTTCGAGATTGGTAGTCTGGGTTTAGTTAAATGTGTGGCATACTAGATTTGAAGGTAAACATTTTTTTCATAGATTGGTTAACAATGGTAGAGCCGCGATCTCACATGCGAGGTATTTTAGACATTGATGTCAAATAAAGAGAAATTGATTAATTGATTAAATGTGCTTTAATTTTCAAATTCAAATCCTTTAAGCCTGTGCAACTATTGGACGACTGTTTTTAATTTTTTTTTAAATGTAGCACTTTACCACTAACCATATTTTAAAAAAAATTCAACAAACTGTAAGAGAGCTCAATACAATTCGTCACAAAAAAACGTCCTATCAACAAAGGTATATTAGTAACTATACAATAAGGAGTACGGACGTCACTTCACTTTCTAATGAGGTTTCGCATACCCCACCTAATCGACCTATGCTTCCTTTATTAGAAACGTTACTCCACCAAGTTCTTAATTATCCGCATACCTTAACCTATAATCAAACTATGCATCCTGGGGTGGGGACGTCACTTCACTAAGGTTCTAATGACCTGCATGCCCCACCTAACTGACCTATGCATTCTGGGGTAGGTACGTCACTCTACTAAGGTACTAAAGACCCGCATACCCCAACCCTAAACGAAATATGCATCACAAGGTAGGGATGTTACTCCACAAAGGTCCTAATGACACACATGCCCCACCTAATTGAAATATGCATCCCGGAGTAGCGGACTTGACTCCACTAAGGTCTTAATGACCCGCTGTACTTCAACCCTAAACCGAACTATAAAACCACAGGGTAGATACGTTACTCCATTAAGGTCATAGTGACCCGCATACCCCAGCAGATATTGACAAAAAAAGCAAGAAAGAGGAAGAAAGTGAAAATCGAAGTGTCTTCGTCTTTGGCAAACAAATTATATCACATGATTCAGTTGTTGCAATAGTTGTACTGTAATAATGCAGTGTGTTAATACTGTAGTATAGTAGCGTTTCACGTTGACCCTTTGCTTGAGACTCGGAGATTATATTTGGCCCTAGAGATAAACTCTAAAAATAATTTGGCCCTACAAACCATGGTTATGAATTTAGAAGTCTGGAAGTAAGTCTTAAAGGTTAAACTTCAAATTTACGTCATCATTATAAACAATGTTTTCTAGAAATACAACTAAAATGAATGTCGCACCATTATAAATCCACACAACACAGTCTGATTCCGTATAGTCGGCCTAAAAGTGTAACTACAATTTTGTTTGCAGGCCTATTTAATTTGAGATATTGAATTGA